AAAACAGATAATTGTTGCCGCTCATTGCCGCTTAGCATTCGTCAAAGAGTAGGAAAATTCTCCCTGCCTTATTTTCCTGTAATAGACGCCAATATCACCAAACTGTATTATAGAAGAGCCGGCCACGCTGGCTAACTGTATTACCAAATACACCCTTTCGATAATTACACATACTTTTTGGTCTTGGAACCTCGCTCTCATTGGTAAATTACACAAGGTGATTAGCGTAATTATTGAAAGGTTGTATTTAATTTGCTAGTAGTAGAACATTTAGCTAGCCTGCGTAACGTGTCTTATGAAACAAAACCATTGGGTAATGGCAATTCCCCGTATTTTCGCATTTTTTTGATCGAGTCCTGGCTCGAGTCCTGACTCGAGTCCTGGCTCGAGTCCTGGCTCGAGTCCTGGCTCGAGTCCTGGCTCGAGTCCTGGCTCGAATCCTGACTCGAGCAATAGTATATCTCTGCATGGGCAACAGGCATTTCGATAAATGTTCGAAAATTGGAAGAACATGCATTTAAACTGTCTAAATGTTGGAAAATACAATCTTATCCAACCACTTTAAATTAAATCAGATCGTGTTAGGTCTTTTTTGTCACAATGATTAAATAATTGTGTCAAATGACAACTAAAAGCCTGCTCGTTATACGTACGAAAACAAAAAACTCTAATAACTATCGTATCTATTAATCCCCGATTATTAAACCCTATTAATTGTGTATTATAATCAACATATTTAACAGGAAAAAAGCCTGCAGTTTCATGATTAGAGGCTGTTCAACCGTGACACAAAGTTTGTAATAATTGTTTTGATGTTGATGTTTTTAATAATATAAAATCGTTGTTGTGTGTGTAAACACAAACACAAGTGTAAACATTTCAGTAGTAAAATTCCATGGCGTACTTGCTAATTTGTGTTGTCGATTTTATTCATATCTGCGAACTTTTTAAGCCATTCTTAACTCGATAATTGACATAATTCACAATAAATAATGAGTTTTAATGCAAGATGGTACATACGGAATTTGTAGCGAATGTTTAATATCGTTTATTAATTAAGCTAGCGCATAAGTCGTGTTTTTATGTTGTCAGTTTATATAGCTACTTTATGTGAAGTTTTTATACTTCATCTAAAGAAAGGCGAGGCCGAGGGGTTGCTGCATGCCATGTATTTTCTAGTAATTAACACACCTAAGCTGTCAAAGTTGGATTTTTTTTTATACACGTGCACCCTGTTTAACAATATACCGGCTGTAATTTTAGACTGGTGGATCATGGATGGAATGGAACAAAAGCACCGAGCATTTAAATCATGCCCATAAATGAATTGAGTGACAACGTGTTAGCAACGAGCATTAACAATTATTCCAATTCAGGTCAATTATCGCTGCAATTTACATGCTTAGCACATGGCTCCATGCCCCGTCGTGCTATCACCAATTAAGGCTATCGTCTTTGCCTTGATTCAAAATCAAAACAACACAAACTGCATGCATAAAATTAAGAATGTTTTCATGATTTGGCGCGCTCTATCGAATACGTTAATATTGAGCACGCCAGAAGTACACGAAACAAGACAGGAAATTGGGATATAGAGTCATGTCTCGCTGTTCGTGAGTTGGAGTCAGCGGTTACGGGGTTCGAGTCAGGGTAAGGATAGCTCAGCATTCATAAACAGCGAGACATTAATTTATAACTGGGGCCGAAAAATGGTCATGTCTCATTGTGGGCTCGGTCTAGAAATTTCCCGCGCTTTTGTTTTGCTTTATTTCAACTTATGGTGGCGAAATAAGACTCGAATTGTATAAGTTTACATCGTTCTTAGTTACGCTGGAGATACCTAATATTTTTCTTGGACCTTTAAACTTTTCTTAATATCCCAAAATTCTACCAATAATGCAAGCAAAAACTTTGCCAACTAAGTTTTGAAATAACTTAGCAGTGTTCGTCATTAATATTCAATACACGTCAGCATGTACATTCTACGCACGTTCATGTTAAGATCAGCTACTTCATCTTAGCTCTCATTCTGATCGAGAAGCGTAAATGAGTTGGTCGAGGCAAGATCGGCAATAAATAAAAATGCAAGTGGTGCATGCTGAAAATGATCGAAAATTTATTGACGTTTTTATAATCTACAGTACCGTATAAAGTAAAAAACGGCAGACAGTCAAGGGTATTTATTTTGAATTTATTTCACTACCTGCCGCGTTTATACAGTTTTGTGGTCAGTATCCCCGGCCAACGGCACGCAGCGCAGTTCCGGCCGTATGCCCGAGGCGAGGGTATACTAATTCCGCTCGGCCAGTTACACCCGGGGAAAGGAATTCAAAGCATTAGCGAAGTGTGCATTTTATCAAACATTGGCGGGCGCCTGGCTATGATTCAAGGGTGGACCTCTCACTGATCTCAAAAAATGGCAGACTGTCATGGAACTGACGAACACTGATTGGTCGGATTTAAATTTCGCTTTATGATAACAGCATTACGAAATCATGATCATGTCATAATAACAGACATTACTTGAAAATATATCTGCTTTTTAATCTGATTTTTATACAGTTTCTTTTGGGAAAATTTATTGAAAAAAAGAACTGAACAAATTAAATGTTAAAGAAAGTTACGGAACCAAACGAAAATCAGCAAGAAGACCACCAAAAAGGCGAAAGACTTGCTAAAAGAAGCGAGCAAAGACGCCGACGTTTGCTTCAAGAGATTGGAGAACGTTATTCAGAAACCCGAACAATCGTCAATGAGACGTGTAGCCAAATAGGTGAGTTCATTTGTTTATTTTAACAAAAGGTTGGGCCGGATAATAGATTGTTGGAAATCGTAAAAACCAATGAAAGAGTAAGTTTATTTAAATATTGATATATTTTTAGCTTTATGGCCCTTTAGCCTATATAATTGCTTTAAAAAGTGATCGTTGCGCTATAATAATGATTAATGAGAAACGTTTAGTGACAGTGTAGTTTATTCATTCATCCATTTTTATTATATTAAAACTTTAAATAAAGAGGAAAGCAGTTATTTGTATGCGACGATGCGAGAATTTGAAATTATTCTATTTCAAACTCAAATTACAGGTTAGGTCCCGTTTACACTATACCGGATTACTTTTCATACCGGATTCATTTTCACTCCGAAGTAAAACAACAATTAGGTCAAGGGTGTTTACAGTATGCATGCCGCTTCGCTCTGTTGCCAGCGCATGTCTCGCTGTCGGCATGGAAACAAGTAATATTTTTTCCAGTATACTAAAATTTATTAAAAACAGAAGTAACACACGTTTTCTTTGAAAAGTATAACTTTGCGTTTAAAAAGCTCGACTACCAGACGTTGCTTCTTTCTCTCTAATCCTTTACAGATTTTTTATTATTTTTTATTCCTTTACAGATGTCAAGCAAGTGGCCATTGACCAATACCCTGATCTTGAAATTGTTTGTGTTGCCTATATTACGTTTAAAGATATACGAACTCTTATTCTTCGCTGTTACAGACCTCCAAATTCGTCTCAAAAATGGTTTGTCTCTTTTAAAAATTCCGGGTTTGGGCTGATCGTCTATACGACAAAATAATCATTACTGGTGATTTTAACTTTCCTAGAATCTCATGGTCTGAAAACGCGGTGATACCATCTGGTGAACATGAAAATCTCTTCTACAACACGTTATCGGACCTATATTCCAGTCAACTGATTTACATTCCAACAAGAAAACAGAACATTCTTGATCTTCTAATTACCAATATCCCGGACAGCATTGCAAATATCGAAGTCATTAATTCCTCCGAATACAACTTGTTCTCGGATCACAATTGCGTACTTTTTTACTTCATCGCGGAAGAAGTAACAGCTTCTCAGAAATTAAGAACTACAATTTATGACTATAAACGTGCGGACTTTGAGGGAATGAACCAGACATTGGAAACGTTGGAGGTTGATTGGATGACGAATGATTCCACTTCGGATATTAACGATGACTGGATTTCTTGGAGAGACAGTTTTCTCACAATCGCAAATGATCATATTCCTGAGAAAACCATCAACGGTAGAAATAATCCACAATGGCTTACCGGTGAAATATTGAATGTGTTAAAAAGGAAGGAAACGTTGCGCCGAAAACTGCGACGCGCCATCAGATCGTAAGTCGACGCAATCATGGAAAAATATAAAAACCTTCGAAGAACAGCCAATAAATTAATCAAGGTTAATCGAGAAAACGTTTTTGCTTCAATGAGCAAGTCATGGTATTCCAATCCAAAATGTTTCTGGTTATTCTTTAAAACAAGCACTAAGTTCTGCAGAATCCCACAACAAGTTTCTATCGCCACTGATATTACCGTTCCCTCAGTCAGGGGCGTGGCGAACGATTCCAGATTTGGGGGGCGTCATACCATAATGACCAACTTTTTCAATGACCTGGCCAAAATTCCTGTGCCGTTCTGTACTAGTGTAAATTTTGTAAACGGCAAAGTTTATAAATAAATAAATAAATCCCAAATTGACGAGTATTTCTTTAAATTTTGCCCTATATATCGAAAGCGAAAAGACAATATTATTATCTTTTTCCTTAATTGTCTTCGCCAGAAATAGTAAATGGTTGTAAGGCGAAAAAAACGACAGCTCTAAAGTTAGTATTGTAAAAGCGATTACACTGTTTCGGCACATTCCGGATTACTTTTCATATCACCTCCAAAGTGGAGTGCATGATTTTTACGCCGCGTCGCGGAAAACATAATGGGTTTGCTAGCAAGGCGAGGGGTTTCTGCATGCATGTATTTCTAGTACACTAGACTAATCATTGTATTGTGGCGCGACTTTTGGTTTATGTCTTTCCTGATTGAATTTTTCATTTTTTTTGCGCTGCAAATCTGCAATTACCCTCCTTGGAAATTGTACCATATTTTAATGCAGTGGACAGGATCTAGAAAAGCAGTTTTGTCGTTTCAGAAGTGTGTTGTCTCAAACGTTTCTACCAAACTTTATAGTATCGTAAATTAGACGGCAAAAACTAGTCGATTCACGAGTATATATTTAAACATATTGTTACGAAAGTATTAAAAATAGTATAAAAATAGTTCAGTTTGCACCCCAGCAGGCTGCTGGGTTACTGATGGTTACTGTTCGGAGTACTCCGGATTTTCGGAACACTAATTAAATCGAACCAATAATGGTCACATGACTGTTCTGACGGTCACATGACTGTTCTAGCTACCCCTACTTTTGAGTAGGGGCAGTCAGAACAGTCATGTGACCGTTTTCGGTTCGATTCGATTAGTGTTCCGAAAATCCGGAGTACTCCGAACAGTAAATGGAGCAGCCTGCAGGTAATTATAGATATTAGTTACGTCAAATGGAGAGATAATGAGCATTTTTTCTGTAAAACGCAGATAAAGTAAATATCATTTCGGACTTGTCTAAAAGTGTCAATTATCTGTCCATTAGGCAAGATAAATAATTTGTAAAAGTTGGACGATAACCTTGCGTGGTGGGCTGTTGTGTTTACATGATTCAAGTCCAAGGCTGGTTCTTCTTTGACATGGAAAATGTGCATGCTTAGGGCATTTCTGTCAATCATTCTTTGGTATATTTCGCGCTGTTGAGTAATGATAACATTACGTCATCAAAATCTTGGTTCAATAAAATTGTAAGTAAATTTAATTTAGTAGGTAAAGTAAGGTTCACATAGGTATAGGTTGAAGTTTTTACTATGATATTTTGATAAGTATTTTAAGTTGTGAACATATTTTAATATTGATCGATTGAACAGCGAACCAACTCGACAAGTGCGACAACGCCTTAAATAAACAGCATTTGAGAGCTGGAACGAGCTAGCAACGCCAACCCACACTTCTAAACCTCAACGTTTATTGCTACATCACGTTTACAAAGATCCCTCAACCGTTAGTATAAAAGTGCGTGCACAACCGAAATTCGTCAGTGGATACTCAGTGGATGATATCTCAGTGGACTCTCCAGTGGACTAACAAGAAGAGACTCTGAAGCAGAACTATTAACATTAGTAACAATAATTACAAAAGTTGTATAACGATTCACTGCCTAAATAAAGCCTTGTAACAATATATATAGCTCCTAAAACATGAGTTGGTTAAATCCGTCAAAAGTAAATGACTTACTAACTTAGTAAGTGTTCTTATTCGATAAGTTATATTTTACTGGCTAAAACAATTAAAATTCTCGAAAATTCAAAAAAAAGAGGAAATAATTTTCGGCACTTTTTTGTCGTGTTCAATCGAGTAATTGAGTACGTTATTAACCCAATCAAAACCTTTCGTAGTATAGTAGATGTGCGTCCATGCCCCTAAGAATTGATACGTCGCGTATTGAAATCCCGCCTTTCTTTTCGTGTTTTTTGTAAAAAAGAGCAGACAGTTTAGAATGATATTATTAATTATTCTTTGGGTATTTGGGACTTTTTTCGGCACACAGGCCTTACGGCCATGAGTGCTCCTAAAATTTTAGTAAGAGGCCACTCATAGCGTGGGCTTGGGAATGGGTAGCCAGAAAATTATTCTTGGATCGATCCTTGGGTCTCTGAGACATGATTTCCTGCATTTAAAATGTATCGTTTTATCATATCATGACAAGAAATACAACCACTACATGGCTCATTCGTCAGAATGCCATCCTGGAAAATTGGAATAACAGCACAATAATGACAAATCTTAATATAATTTTTTTACGAATTTAATTTGTTAGTATAGGTAATTATGCGATGGCGAGTACAATTAGGGATTAATAGTACGAGTGATGTTTGGAAATTTTGCCAAAATTGTACGTGCCGCCGGGGCGAGTCCAATTTGACAAATTTCCAAACATCTCGAGTATTATTAATCCCTAATTGTACGAGCAACATCGCATGATTACTTGTTTATTATTAGCGTATGACAAAATTGGATACTTCTCCGTCAACATCATATTCTCTCGCCAAAGCCCAGTCCTGACAGACTTTCAACCAAAATTTGGTAGTTTTGTTCGTATTTTCATTTAGTTCTTTTGGTTAAAGCAAAATTTGGTGCTTTTGTTCGTATTTTCATCCGAGTTCCTCAAGGTCAATTTCTACCAAGGTCAATTTCTGTCTTGATAAAAAACTTTAAGGAGGGCTCAGCCTCCCCCCTTCGCAAGCTGAAAGGAAATTTTAACCAGCAAAGGTAAGCCCTCTTAGCCCCCATTCCACTACTACACCCCTGATGGTAACCAACCTGAAAGTATATCATATACTCACGAGTAATTTTGTTTTTAATACAACCTGATCAATAGAAAAATAAAATTTTACAACCAAACTGAAAAATATAAAACATAAAGGCCTTTGAAGTTCGCTATTCTCTAGATTCCTTCCCTTCCATCTCAGTTTGTATGTCTGCTGTTGTCTCATCATGTCCCTCGGGAACAACGCTTGTCCAATCAGAACACCCGACCCCAGTCTCCCCTTCGTCGATACTCGGTAACTCGCTACTTGTTGTTGTCTCTGATTCATTTAGTGTGGCTACTCCGAGAGTCGGAGCCATTGAACGAATAAATCCCTTAGTTAAAGTTGGGATCTTCATAGCGCCTAAGCGTTTCTTATTTATGTCAGTGTTTTCCATGTCATTCGAGGTAATTTTCTCAGTCTTGTAATCCCTGGAAATTCAAGATATATGGTTGTAAGACATGCGCAGACGTGTTACGTTTTTGGTACAAAATTCCCATACCCCTCACGATAAATTCCCAGTAAAGACATGTTGCTCTTCTCGATACAGTTTTTAAAACTTCATGTGAAAAATGGATAATTATTGTTTGACATGCTTTATTAAACGACGTATTTTTAGGTTTTATGCAGCAGATACCAGGATGTTCAGATATATTTTAATGTTTATTCTTCAAAATATTTGTAGAAGCAAGAAAGATATGAAAAAACGGTAAGAGTATTATATATAATCTTTAAAGTTCTTTCAAATGAGAAAATAAAAAAAATATTGCCATTTCCCTTTAAAGAATACCTCTGCACCCTGTTAAAGAAAACATTTTGGTTTCTTCGTGTTTGGCGAAACCGCAGCTTCGTCTATAATACAAAAGTTTGCTCGTCTATAACCGGAACGAAACAGGAAGCCATTTTGTTTTTGAGCTGAATAGTGCAGGGATATCCAGAGCTGAGCAACCAATCAGATTCCGTGAAAAGCACTATCCACCTCCCGAATACATGCATGCTAATCAACCTTATCACTGCGTACCTTTTCACTTGATATAGTCTTGCTTCGTCGCTGTATTTGTCCAGTCTTTGTAATCTTTCAACAGCGATTTCTGAAAGTACTGACTGCATGCCAGGGAAAGCATCAAGAACAGTTCTGAAGTCAGAGGTATTTAATGAATAAAGATCCAACATTGTTGCTGCTCGACAAGTTGCTGTTCGACGACCATCTTCTCGCATCAAAGATATTTCTAAAGATGTTTTTAATTTATGATTATTAAACTCTCCCGGGAATAATAATCCTATTTCAGTGGCGGGCGGTGGGGGGGGGGGATACATTTTCTGTCTTTATTAATTGTGTTTGTTTGTTTGTATATCTGTCCGTCTGTCTGTATTGTTTGTCAACAGACGATGTAATACATGTAATCCACCCGCAGTAAATGGCCTTAACCTGTTACAGGCTACGAGCCTGAGATGCAAAATGTAAATAAATAAATAAATATCTTCGTTGCGGTAGTAGCTACTATCATAATTATAATAAAGTACACTAAAGTGTTATCCCCCTTAATAAGTGGTGTGAAAATGACCGGTAACAAATACCTCCAAAATGTGAACCATCTGTAAGACTGGTCGCAACAAATCCATCGGTTGTCAAAATATCCACAATGCCTCGCACGATGAAATACATTCTATCTCCTTTACTTCCCCGCTTGAATACGACGTCTCCAGGAAGGAAAACTTCAAATTTAAGTAAAGTCACACAGAGCGAGATAAATTCTTCGCTTGTATTACTAAAGAATGGCACGGAGGTCAGCAAGGATCGAGCGTTGTGAATTTGAATTTCCTGCAGAATAAAAGTGTTCCACTAATCATATATGTTACTTATATGAGGGTTTTAAGGGGTAAGGCATAATTTTGCCAAAATTTTTAATTGTTATTGTAATTCCATCAAATACTTATTGTTAACCGTTAATTTTACATAATTACTGGAACGTACACCATTATATACAGGCAGATAGCCTCAACTTCATTCTTCAATTTCCTTTGAATTTTATTCAGTCTAACGTAATGTTTACAGTTTTTGTTTGTTTTCGAAGGAATATATATCAATTATACCCTCCAGCTAGTAATTCCGTAAATTATCTATAAGAAATCCACCCTACCTCTCGTAATGGGTAAGATAATTCTGTCAAGATAGCGTCTTCGTCAAACAGTTTATGATGATAGCGATGTTCATAGTAATCTTGAACCCGACGTCTGATTTGTAGTGGCAGTTTACGGTAACGCATGTATTCTCCAACTTGGTTCAACTGGAACGATATAATGAATATTATTATATAGTATAGAGAGTGAGATGCTGAAAAATACACAGTGAGATATTTTCCATATCTTCACTAGCGAAGATATCGATCACGTGACTTTTTCCAATTTGCTTTTGAGCGTTAAAGGGAAATGGCAATATATTTTTTTATTTTCTCATTTGAAAGAACTTTTGAAACTATTTAATAACTTCTTTTACCGATTCTTCATGTCTTGCTTAGTTCTTGAAATATTTTCACTTGAAGTAATGAGATGTCAGCCATCTTGGATAATTATTTTATCTCATTAACGGTAGTTTTGGTGACGTCACAACAGGGATTAACCATATAAAAGTATTCGTTGTTGACCAAATATTGATTGGTAGATGTTTTAAAGGTTTCAAGTGATCTTGATATTTCCAAGGGGATACGGAGTATAATTTTGAGTGCAAAATGATTAGTGGTTGTCTAGATAAAAATATTGCATGACCCCTGTTGTGACGTAACATGCATATCTACAAAAATCCAAGATGGCGGACATTTCATTTCTTTCGATTAAAATATTTGTAGAAGTAAGCAAGATATTTAAAAACGGTAAAAGAGTTTTATATATGGTTTTAAATGTTCTTTCAAACAAGAAAATAAAAAAATATATTGCCATTTCCCTTTAAATTTCACAATTTTTTGCTTGGGACTATATAATAAACCTAACATTACACGGTGGCTTGAAGATATGACTTTTATCTTCTCGTGTTAAAAACAATATTTTACTCATTCTCTGCGCTCGTTCGTAAAATATTGTTTTCACCACTCGAAGATAAAAGTCATGCATATCTTCGCGCCGCCGTGTAATATCCTCTATTTATTTTTTTGTATATCAGCAGCGGCCGGAATCCTAGCGTTTTCTGCAATCTGATTGGCTGCGGCAGCGGGCGGAATTTTACGATATTTGACCTGGCTGCAGCAGCGGGCGGAATTTTACGATATTTGACCACGGTCCGGAATCCTATACGTAATGGCCGAAGCAAAGCAAAATTTTTTTGTATATTTGTTTTAAAACTGAAAAATATGAATATGTCATTTTGAAATAATTTTAATGATGAATAAAATAATTGTACTGTATTTTAATTGAATTGTTTGTTTTCTAAAGTAAAATAATTGAATATCAAAATGTTTTTATTGTTTTGTTTCCTATATGCGCAATCTAATAATAAAACCGTTGCCATTTGCCTCTGAGTCTTCGACAAAAAAATAAATACGTTATTTGCCGTTTAGGTCGGTCCAGATAGAAAAATATTTTGTCTCGGTCTCAAAAACGTCCCTCGGCCTTCGGTCTCGGGCCTTTTTTAGACCTCGACAAAATATTTTTCTATCCGGACCTCCCAGCCGGTAAATAACATATATTTCTTGAACGGTCTGGGCGAGCGTAGGTAGTGCCAGTGATAAAAAAGCTTCCGATTGATAGAGATATAGAGACACAAGATATTTTTAGTGGAAAAATGCAAGGTTCTAGAACTTCGACGTTTCGACCTTTTGGGAAGAGCCTTCGCTTGAAACGCCAAAGTACAAAGTTTAATTATTTGATCATTACTGAACTGGGATATTATTATACCCGTTCTCAAAATTGCCTGTCTGAAAAAATGTCAGTTTTATGCATAGCTTTATAATATTCGTAAATTCCAGTAACGACGCTCGTAGATTCCAGAATGACAGGAAAATGTTGGATATTACCTGCCTCTCAGATTACGCATCTTTATTGCAATACACATTTTCAAGAACGAATTATATATACATGGGAGACTTGAGAGCAACCAAATAAACGGTGATGTTTCCTATATTCACTACAAGGGTTGGGTAACAAAAGTTTGTCATTTCCAAAGCATGACTCACTCAAATATTGAAGTAATGTTATCAGTCAAATGTCAATACAATATGTAAATCAATCATAGTCGCTTTATAAGAGATCACCTTCCGATTTTTCAGAAGACAAATGGTGTCTTCAAAGAAATAAATGAAACTTTAGTCCGCAGAAAATTGCACAAGCAATTATCGAACTCGATCTCATGGCACGGAAGTGGTAAAGGAGACCAACCCCTAAGCGGTATCTGTATTTTATTCTCCATATAATATATAGCATCATTTATTCACGCATATATAGCATTCATTTGTTCGTCATGAGGGCCACAACATGGATTTATTAGTTGTCAAACTATTATGTATGGCCCTCAATCAAAACTCCATATTATTTTCTTACTTAGGCTGATCATTGAAAATGTTGAGTAAATTTCACACCATGTACAAACATTACCTTTTCCTTATACAATCTTCCCGAGGAGTCTATCGACATAATTAATGTCGACATAATGCCAATAAATACGGCGTAGAAGGTCGCACCGATGGTCATACTACACAGCATTACCCACAATTCAGTGATGTTGTTTGGTGGAAATCGACCATAACCTATGCAAAGCATGTGTGACATAGCGTTGAAGAGAGACCAACTGTACTGGTGGAAACTTGGTTTATCCTGAAATAAACAACGAGTTTCATCATGATCATGAACATTTTTCACAAGTATACACCTATTTCAATTAAGGTTGTCCACGAGCAAAGCGGAAATGTCGAATACGAACGCGAAAGGTTGCTGGGAATCGCTTTGAAAATTCATTAATTTGTTAACGATTCCCAGCAGCCTTTCGCGCTCGTATTCGACTTTTCCGTTTTGCTCGTGGACAGCCTTAATTGAAATAGCTGTATACAGGATGTAGAAAAAGGTAATCCAACTTTAGCATATTCACGTGCGTTAGGTATTGAGTTTCCCGATAAAATTCTTTCACAACGACAAAATTCAGGCTTAAAAGTTGTTAACGTTTTTGTATCCGTATATAAAGCGGGGAAATGGCAGATTTAATATTACATTAGTGTATATATTATTACATTACATTATTGTTCAGCTCACTCCTCATTGGGGCTTTTCAGTGACCGATTACATCAAGTATTTCGCTTACTTATGTTACTTACTTAGCCTAGACTATTTATTTATTATTTATTTATTATTTATTAAAACTTTATTTCACGAGGGTAAAAACACATTACAGGCAGGGGCTGAAAAACTTGTGGCCCTTTATCATTACAACAATTGTGATTACTTTCTTATTAACTGTGTTTATCCTAACCCACCATGTGGAATCGAGTAAAATACGAATCGAATAAAAATTGCCTGTCGAAATCGCATTTTTCCACAGTTGGAAATTGGGCAGAAAACTATTGAAAATAAACGTTTATTTGGTAGGAATGCAACTACCTGAAAATATATAAGGAGAATTTCAACGTTTCGAGCGAAGGCCCTTCGTCTTGTAAGGTTTTTGCGTCGATATACGACCTATACGCAAGCTATCCGGTATATACATTGTAAACGCAGCCTAAAATTCATGAATTTTAATTAAAAGCTCTAACACGATAAATATAGAGTTTTCTTAATTAATAAATAAATTTCGCCAATAAATTTCATAAAAACATAATTTGTATCGTCCCTTGGGACATCGCATCACAGAGTAGATACATACAGAGCTGTAACTGGCCGTCGTAAACCAGTGGCGTAACGTTATATCAGGGGGCCCACGGTTCAAAATTTTCGAAGGCCCCCCTAGTAGAAGTACCAAAGGCACGAGTCGAGCGCCGTATATGCACGAGTTTTCTAGGGAGTCCAGGGCATGTTCATCCGGAAAATTTTTGAATCTAGACTCTCTGAAATGCCATTTCCTGGACTTTGGGGAGAGATTTTACAGAATTCGGATGGTCATAAAACGTCATTGTAACATATCAGAGGCCCTGACCAATGTTTTTGCTCTATCGCCTAAGCCTGGGGGCCCCCATTTGGGTTGGGGGCCCCCGGGTTCTCCCGGTCTGAGCCCATAGTAGTTACGCCACTGTCGTAAACACTGCGGAATTACATACAGTGAGCTGTAACTGGCCGTCGTAAACACTTACTTTTTCATGTACTCACTTTTCTCCAGGCGACCGGGCAAAAAAACGATCAACCGCGCGTGCTCGGCAAGTTCCGCGAGCAGTGAAAGCGAGCCGCCATCCAATGGGATGCATGCATCCAGTAACTTGCCGAGCATGCGCACAAAAAAAGTGGGTACACTAGTTATAACTCTGTATATGTATCTACTCTGTGATCGCATAAGTGTTTTCCGCGTTTACTTGACTTCATTATAAGAAAGGTCTATTGTGGGCACAATAGTGATTAAATGCGTTTTCTTTTGTTATTTACTGATTTACTAATACAGAAAGGTGGCCGGAAAATGTGATTGCGACCGGTACCTTTCAAACGGCTCGTGTTTGATCATTTTTGCCTAAAACGATGCAAAAAATGTGTCATTCAAAAGCTAAAGCCGTAATCGTTAATAATGTGCATTATTAAAGATGTTCACTCAACATTGACGGGAAAATAGCACTTCAAATTTAGACCACTTTTTATATAGCCTGTTTTCGTAAATGAAATACTCCGCTCTCTTTTAATCTCCCCCCCCCCCCCTCGAAACTCATTAATTTTACATATGAGCAGGTTTCATTCAAAGGGGGGGGGGAGGATCATTAGAAAGGGAAACGTACTGAAGATTTCGCCGAAACGCATGCAGTCAAAAGACGTGCATGAATTTTCCCGCCAAATAATAAACTTTAATAAGAGAGCTGTTCAGATGGTTAAATATTTGAGAGAGAAGTTTTATAAGCCAATTCGGAGTTTCCCCTGCGCATCCAAAGAGATAAATTGTAGTTGAGCTATAATATGTGGCAGAGACTGCAAGAATATACCTTTTCGATAATTACGTCATGAATACTTTCTTGGCCTGGGAGCCTCGCACTCGTGAATCAAGACGAAATGCGATTGGCTTACGATTCATGAAAATGAAGCTCCCAAGCCAAGAACGTATTCATGACGTAATTATCGAAAAGGTCTGTTAGGGGCCGATTACATGGATCATTTTCAACCCCGGGGTTGAACTCAGTCCTGTTTACCGGGTTGAAATTTCAGCCCTGTCTGTAATACAAAACTCTATCAAAATCAAACGCGCGATTACATGACAAAATTTTCAATCTAGGGCTGAGTTCAACCCCGGGGTTGAAATTTCAACCCTACTTCAGCTAGCAGGGTTGAAATTTCAACCCCGGGGTTGAACTCAGCCCTGGGTTGAAAATTTTGTCGTGTAATCGTTTCAACCCAGGGCTGAAATTATCATGACTTATTCGAGCATACGTGGCAGTGACTATTTATTACAAGAAAACAAAATAAAAGCTTTTTTACTTCCTGGAATCGATGCCGAGAACGTATAGTATAGCGTTTCAACCCCGGGGTTGAAATCGTCTATGTAATCGCAAAAAAATTCCACCCGGTTAACAGGGCTGAGTTCAAACCCGGGGTTGAAAGTTCTCCATGTAATCTGTTCAATCCTGATTTGAATATGCAAAAAGTTGCTCAAAGAACAATAAGTTACCGCACGGTTGATTCGCCCTGAATTATTCAACCTCGTACCCAGGTTCTTTCCTCTTGGGGAGCAAAGACCCTGGTCACGTGATTTGCTAAAATCCAGCAGATTTCTAATTAACTATCTTGGTTTTCTTTACGACAATCATGCAAAATGCAAATTATAAGTTAAACTGTCCAGCATGAGCTCCACCTTTGAATTTACTATATGAGTAAATCTTAAACGTCCGAATTTATCATTATGATAAATTCGGGGCAAATTTTGAATTTATTATAATAATAAATTCGCGGCACCTAACACTAACCCTAATCCTAACCCCAACCCCAACTCGAACCACTAACCCCTAACCCCTAACCACTAACCCCTAACCCATAACCCCTAACCCTAACTTTTTAAACTTTTTAGATTTTTTAAACTTTTTTAACTTTTTTAAAAATCTAACTTTTTAAACTTTTTTGCCTTTTAAAACTCTTTTAAAACTTTTTTAGAAACTATTTTTTAAAAAAACTTGAAAGGCACTTCAAATGTTTATTGACCTGTTCTTGGATTGCAAATTAAAAATCTACTAGATTTTAACAGATCACGTGACCAGCGTCTACCAGTGTCTTTGCTCCCCAAAAGGAAAGAACCTGTGTACGAGGTGGTGAATTATTTAGAAAATACAGTGTATTTCCTTTAAATGTACCTTTCTTTATTTTCCTTCAGACAGAAGAAAAATATGGATGCTAGTACAAAAAATATTTAATTTAAAAATATTTAATATTGTGGCTATAAGTAAAACACAAATAATGATTGACATTGAACTGCTGAACACTTTAATATGCATATTTTAACTTTTCCAGTCTCAGCTACATATTAATTATGTTTGTTCAACAGCAATTTATCCCAACACAGAACGTGGCATTTGGATGCGCAACCAAAACTCCGGAATTGGCTTATTGACTGAACATTGCTATCGGGATTGATTGAAAAAACAATACGCACGTGTCGATGAAGCGTCCATATTTAGTCGGTGGGGCCACCTGTGGTGCCCACCGACTCTAGGTTTCGGCACGCATTTTTTTTCGCGGATCGCAGATCGCAAATCTCCATTGTACACAAATTTCCATTATGACACGTCACGATTTTAAGGAAATTTGAGTATATTGAAGTGGAAACATGTGAGACAACGACATTGAATTATAGAACTATATTTAGTTGGAAAATTGAGGAAAATTGAGTATATTTAAGTGGAAACATTTGCGACAAGGACTCAAGATTCTCTGCTCAAGGAGTGAAAGGACAAACTATCGTGAATGTTTTTGTATAGTTTTCAAGGATTCAAGATTGAAGCCTGATAGATGTTTCACAGGGTAAGTACTGAATGTATTTTATCTTCAGATACGCTCATCTCGCATGAATGTGCACATATTCGTGATAGACCTACAGTAAAAGATGCTGAGCGATTTCGAACTGGGTCTATGATTCATGAATACAAACATACCTTCGGGTACAAAAAATGCAAATATACCTTAGGGTACATACATGCATTATTCGTGAAAAGGCCTACACTAAAATATTTTGAGCGTTTTCGAACCAGGCCAATGACACACGAATACAAAATTACCGAAAGATACTATCATGTTGCTATCAAAGACATCAAACGTTTCTCAAAATCTTATTCAAAATGTTATTTAAATATGTTTACATTATTAATGCATACAAAATGTGACACACGTGATAAGCTGACAATCCACCAGATTGTATTTATTACTTCACAAGGTACAGATGAAGGTGTGAATTCTGAAAACAGTCAATTCTCAAGGGCTGCTCAAAAGCAAAACATTAATATGCAAGCCTTCCAATGTGTTAATATGTCAACATCAATTCCCAAAAATGGTGCCACTGGCACTGATTTTTGTTACACCGCATTTGGCAATCGCGACTTTTGTATGCGACAGGTATACAAAACTTTAAATCACATAATAAATGTCCATCAGTCTGCGCTTTGTTCAGACATCGAGACCAATCCTGGACCTGTATACTATATAGATCCTAGCATGACA